TTTGATTAACCACATCTGGCCCCGCTCTTTATTGGGATTCATCACTGCAAACTCTTTGATAATTAGAAAGACCGTCCTTCATGTCAAATCAAAAACATGACTGATGGCTATTTACAATTTTATGAGTGCATGTGTGTGTGTGTTTGTGTGTGTGTTAGTAGCATGCAATAGAAAAATCTGATTAATGATGCTCATCTCGGCCTCCCTTGGCTGTCCAAATGTAAACAGAGGACTCAACTGTTTGCTTGCAGTGTAATTAGTCAGCGGTGACAGGTCTTTTCTCTCTCTCTTTCTCCCTCTCTGTCTCCCTGCTCATCTTGTCAACAGGACAGATACGCACCATGCTGTCAGCAAGCCTGATAGCCAGCACTGGCAGAAAGGTTAAGATTTACATAAAATATAGCTATCTGCTTACACACACTCCACATCAGACAGATTTCCCATTATTGGGTTTCTTTTTCTTATTCTTTTCTTCCTGCGCCCTCTACCTAATGCATGCTGCTGCTCTGACTGACTCACATACAGCGGCAAGAATGCTCACATGATGGAGTGCACACATACACACAAATAGTCATAAACATTCCTCTTAGTTCAGCAGGTAGACAGCAGAATAACGGTCATCTGTCACAGTGAAGGTAACGTAGTTCTAGTACACGCTGTCCTACATAACACTGTATATAATATATATGTACCTTATTGTTTTATTGTGCCAAGACTGCTGTCATTAAATTATCCTCGTCAACAGCCAGAAGGAAAGCGCTCCTTGAAAGACAGCGATGGATTGAGCAATTCAGAGGTTCAGCTTTGAGAGGAATTCATGGTGCTATGTTTCCTGGAAAAATAGGAGAAAAATGTACAGTGAGGATGCGTGTATTAGGGAATATTTACATAATGAATGTGCAAAAACATGAAAAAGTGCTGCTGATAGAAAAGTTCTGCCAGAAGAGTGAAAGGGGTGTGTTTGGGGTTGAATGGTCACCTTGTGTCACTAAAATGCCAACTCCTCCATGTGTGCACACAGCTAGTTCATTTTCACATAAAGACAAACTTGCCCTTGACATTTTGCGATACGCTGAGTATCCCCTTTAATAGGTGCACCTCATCATTTAGAGTAACGCCCTGCTGCAGACAGCAAGTCACGTATGAATAAAGCATAAGTGCGAAGCATGCAGGCGGGGTTGAGAGTTGAAAACTTTTAATATAGCTTAACATTAGTACCACTCTATATCCTTTCATTAAGGGCTTCTGGCAGTCCAGTCTTCCAGAGGCATCAGAGCAGCTGCATTAGTCAACAATAGTTATTTGCTTTGCATTGAGTCTGAATCATTGTGTCCTCTTTCATATAGTTTTATTGATCATCTTCTCTTGAGCTTTTACCCGTACTCTTTTTGTGTATTTTGCTGTTTGTGTTCCATGCTTTCCCTACTTTCTTGTAAGCACACTTAGTACACACAGAGGCAGAAAGTAATTAACTGCATTTACTCAAGTACTGTCTGTTCGCTCAGGGACACTAAAGTCAAGGAACTGACCATTTATAGCAAAAACTATAGTGTTATATTTGCCAGAAAAGGCTGTGTTGGCTTTTTTATGGAGCCCTCAAAGAATTGAAGCAGCAACAATGAAGAGCCGAAGAGCTTATCCCCCTTAATAAACATACATGAACATAAATCAGTTAGTTAAATCAATAATGCAGAAACTGCATATAAAGAGGAGGTTGGGGTGGAAGAGGGAGCTGTGTTAGTAAATGTCAGCAGAGACATAATGACAAGTGTCAGGGATGGCCGCATTACACCTGCACGGATATGATTGGATGTTTCTAACCACCGCTGAGCCAGTGACTGTGAAGCATACATGAAACATCTGATACCAATCATCCAATACAAGCTCTGCCTGAACCAACACTATGCTTCATCAAGCACAGTTTTGACATACTTGTACCTTTATGGTTTTACTCCACTGCATTTCAGGGACAAATATTGTACTTTTTACATCAATATATTTATCTGACAGCTGTAGTTAATTTTTTTACTGATTTTACATATAAACACTTATGAAACATGTTGTAGATTAAACTACCAAACTGTATATAGAGTACTTAAAATTAGTTTATCCAAATCGGAGGATGGAAATTGCCACCTAGATGAGAGGAGAAACACAAAATTCATCAAATCAAAATGTTAAAACCCAAATATTTTGTAAGGATTTTCTTCAAGATCTCCTGTAACTGTGACTGTTGCACTTGTGCACAACATAACACAATTACCATTAACACATTCCAACCTCTAATCTGTACTAATTACCAATCTCCAGACACCTGCTGGCTAGATTGCATGTAAAAGTGACCGAGGTGGACAAGCATATTTAGGTTAAAGGTTACGGAGCATCCCTGTGACATGCATGATACAGTAATATAACACTCTTAAAGTGGCCATTCTGCATTATGAGTACTTTTAATATTCATATTGTACATTTTGCTGATCATATCGTTACTTAAGAATGATTTTTGAAAGCAGGACTTTGACTTGTAACACATTTAAACATATTTTAAGAAAATGGTCTGAATACATCTTTCACCATTGCCTACATGCTTAATTCGTTTTTCAAGCACTATAAAAGGAAATTGACACTTCAGGGCATAGACTGAAATATCATACTCAACAGTTTTCTTCTGTTGTTTTTATTGGCATGCTGACAAATTATTTTCTTAGACCTTGGTGGAGAGTAATGGTAGTAAAAGTAACTGAAAATTCTGAACGTAGTGTTATAAAAAAGTTGACTTGAACAGGCACAACTATGGTGACAATATGAAAGTCCTGTATTCAAAATGTTATTTAAGCTGCACTAATCAATATTTATATTAGAAATTAATCAAACTAATTTGCGTAATGTGGTCACTAGTGATGAATCAACCTCCTTATCTGTGGTGGATTGTAAAAAAAATATTTTAGTTGCATACAAGTTAATGTCACAGCTATTGGTTACCTGCCAAATTAAAAGCACACCCACACAGGTGTTTTCATTTATCCTGCTGAAGAGCCCTCTAGTCTGGTTTGGGTGTGCTTACGATGAAGATAATTAGCGTGAAGTTTCACCAAATGTAAATCAAGCACAGGCACTTATTATGCCAAATAATGGAGCTGGACTATGTGTAACAGGCACGCACTTTAAGCTTTTGACATACACAGCTTTCCATAGTAACATTCCAGGCGACCCTGACACTCACCCCCTTATAAAAAATATGGATTGGCATTGAAACAAACATTGAAATAAGTAGTTAGCATTATCATCTGCAGCATTAAAATGATGCTTGCACATAAATGCATCAGTAATAACTTTAATTAACAGTAATCATATTATTAACCCACTGCAGTGTACAGTGGGTTAATCAGCCCAGCTCCAGCAGGCAGATAAAGCTGATGAACATGTGGAGCACTTAGCAACTAATGAGGCAGATTTTCTTAGTAGGAGTTAGTGAAGTTTGTTAGTGAGGACCAAACGAATATTGGACTTACATTTAAAACAAGACTCCAAATAAATAATATTGGTAACATGGTGCAAGCTGTTCAGTTGGCTCCCCCAGTGGCCAAAAATAAAACCCCCAAATCAGGCTAACTCAAATTAAAGTAAGATTAAATCCCCTTTTTAATGAAGACAATTGTTTGACAGCCTAGAAAAAGCACAGGTGTGAAATAATAAAATGATTTGCTGGGACAAATTAAAACAGTCTCTTCAACCAAGCCCTTGAATTAGTACACCTGGTAACACTTGTGCCCTTTCCTGCTAAATGACACTCGTTCAAACAATGTCCTGCTGTTAAGGAAGGTCCACTGTATTAGCAACAACTCTTACTAATACGGCAAGTAAGAAAAAAACTATTTAAAACCATTTTTGGGCAAAGCCAAGTGCCGACTCGCCTGCTGTGTGCTGCCTATCATACTGTCTACTATGACCTTAGGTCACTTTGGAACTTTTATCCCATAAGTGTTTGAGGAATGTTAGATGTTTGCAACAGATATATAGAGATCTTCATAGGTCGATAACCTCATACTTGAACACACTAGGATCACTAAAGAACTTACATCAATAAAAACAGGCCCAACGACTATTTTATCTTCCCCCTTATTATGATAGTATACTATCCAGGTAGTTATGTATATATAAATTATTATTATTATTAATTATTCATGTATTATTCATTATTATTATTAGTAGTAGTAGTAGTCATAGTAGTAGTGTGTAGCTAGGTAGAAGAAGAAGAAAGAAGAAAGAAGAAGAGAAAGAAGAGAAGCAAGAGGAAGTAAGTAGCAGTTGTATAATTATTACAAATTAATATTGTGGTTATTGAGATGCCGAGCAAACTTGTTTTATATTTATCACCACATTTTTTTATCCAGCCTTCGCTACATTAACAGCCAGCACTGAAACATTACCTCTCTTAAGAGATACAACTACCATTGTACTTTTATAGCAACTGACTCAACATATCAAGGCTTTCATACTGTAAAATCTTCAAAAGTAACTATACTCAAGAGCCACCTTCCTCAATGTACAGCGGGAGGAGGGAGACCTAAACATTCCATGCCTTTAAAACACCTTTACTGCCTGGAATACAAATACATCAATATTGCTACAATAATATACAATACCCCAAGTACAATGCAACGGGATCCAGGAAGAGTAAATACATACGTCAAACTGGTAGACCTGCACACTCCACATGCCGTATCACAGTAAATTGACCCAGTAAAAACTTTTAAAGTCAATTACTACTTGATCGTCACAACTTTACGCGGTCAAAATCACAGGGGGCAACATCTGACTTTTATGACCATGTGCAGCGAAGCGACCCCACGCCTTTCGCTCATTGAGAACAGGGCGCACTGAACTCCAGGCACCCTGCCTCAGTCCAGGCCCACTTCCAGGACCCCAGCCTTTCCGCCTCATTCACATTCTGAGAGCCACAAACGCCTGACTCCAGGGCACTGCCTCCTTCACCACAGGGCACCCCCGTCCGGGCCCCAGCCTATCGCTCATCAACACCAGCAGCTGCAAACTCCACAGGCACCTGCCATCACGCTCAGGACCCAGCCTCTCACTCGGGGACCCCGGCTCGCTTCATACAGCCAGCACTGAACTCCAAGCAGCCTGCCCCTCACCGCTCTCGGGAGTCGCCCGCCGACTGTCCAGGACCCCAGCCTTCGCTCATCGCCACCACCCACGCCCAGCCCACCAGTGCCCCCCGGGATATTCCCCAATACAAAACAGCGCACTACCCCTGCCTCACCATCCGCGCACCAGCCACTCCCACGGCCCCCGCCCCTGTACACACGCTCCACCATCCCCACCACACCACCGCCCAGTCGAAACTCCAGGACACCCCCAACCCGCCCCGGCGGGCGCCTTTCACCGCTCCAGGACAGCCCCCACCGCCTCGTGCGCACAGCCCAGGCTCATCGACAGCCAGGCACTGAACCTCAGCGCAGGGCCCCTGGCGGCCCCCAGCTCCCGCATCGCCCGAGCGCCCGCACCGCGCGCCGGCACCGCGTGACCGCATCCAGGACCCAGGCCTTCGCTCATAACCCCAGCACTGAACTCCAGGCACTGGACCTCACCTCCCAGGCCCCCCAGCCTTCGCTCATCACCACCCCAGCTCTGAACTCCAGGCCACCCCTGCCCCTCAACCCTCCAGGCCCCTCAGCCTTCGCTCATACACCAGCAACTGACTCCAGGCACCTGCCTCACCTCCAGGCCAGCTCCAGGCCCAGCCTTTCGCTCATCCACACCACAGCATGAATCCAGCAACCTGCCCTCTACCCCTCCAGGCCACCTCCAGGCCCCAGCCTTCGAAGAGATCATACCCACCCGAAGCAATGAACTCCAGGCAACCCCACTTGCCCTCAACCTCCAGGCGCCCCCAGCCTTCGCTCATAAACACCCAGCTCGACTCCAGGCCCCTGCCTCCACACTCCAGGACCCCAGCCTTCGCTCATCACCGCACTGACTCCCCAGGCACCCTGACCTCCACCCTCCAGGCCC